TTCTCATGAAATAACTTGTATTCACTTTTATTGTCAAAGAAGTATGTACTTCAAAGTGAAATGAAAGAACATCATCGCCTTTTTGTGCAAGCTGTGATGAGGTCTCATCTGTGTTCTGCGAAAACATTATTTTTACTGATAGTTTTCAACACAATTTGAAAAGCTGATTGACCTATTTTTCAAAAATATGTGATTGAGCACTTCGGACTGATATATAATTATCAAAACATCGAAGATGTTAATCAGCTAAGTAAAATAGTACAACTTCGATCTATCGTGCTGTTGTCAGAATTTTATTCTTGCAATAATTCATTTCACAGTGAAATTTGATTAAAATGTGCACTGAATGATCTAAAGAATCACTACTTGTGGAAAAGATTAAAAACACAGTCTAATAGAATGAACGGTGCAGACACAGCAGTGAATGTTGGTTCTCTCTATCTTATGAAAAATCTAAACAAAAATTGATACAGGGAGGAGACAGAGCTCACCTAACTGGTCACCCGATGGTGTCGCTAATAATGTACTTTCGGTACAAACTGCAGACTTAAATCGATCGTTCCAACCAAACATATGGATTTAATAAAACGTTCACAAAAAACTATTAATTTGAACTACATTGGTGTTTGCAATTACTTCTTTTTCTCCATTTCTGCTGTCGAAACAATCTCTAAATCACGTACCAATCGAATTGTATTTATCTAAATATGTTCTTCATATTCTTTATACTTTATAAGTGATATATCCATTATTTGTATAGTATATAGGATGTTTCTGATATTCTCTGTCGATTTTTGTATTTTACTCGTTCAACTGCAATTATCTTGCATTTCAGAACAACTTCAGCGGTAAAAAGGAATTTTAACTTGACGTTAGCAAACACCAACGTGTACATCAACGGTATCAAAATCACTGGCATTTTCTGAAAAGCAATATATACGATAAACAATTGTTTTCTAATATTCGTACCAATTACTTTTAGGAACGACATATATTAAAAATTGATTATCGTTATTATTGAACGCTTTCTCTTTTACATGTAATATACTTTCACAAAGTTTGTACTTCTAACGTTCAACAATATCTTATTGCCATCTAAACTTGAACGGTGATAAAAATCATCATGCTCGTAGCGACACTTATATAAAATAATTGAGCTATCTATTCTGTTTCTACATTGATATATAAATGACCTACCTTCACAAAAACATTCGTTGAATGTTGGATACACATTTGAATATTTTATCCTATCGCGTGTTGACGAAGGTATTAAAAACAAACAGGTGCATTTTTAACTATAACTGACCTCAGAAACTCTGCATAAGTATTAAATCGTACCGTTCAAAGCGATAAGTTGAGAAGAAATTAATTTTGCGCACATTCGAGTGTATTTTAACCAAAATATCTCATATCATACAATTGCACATTTTATCATAATAACGTTCATCACTCATTGCGATTTATACATGTAAAACAGTATATTTTTCTTCAATGTGAATCTTAAATGTTCACTTGCGTCATTGTATACCTTAATAAATTTGATCTAAGAGTATTATATCTTGAAACGTTCTGAAATGATTATGAGTAATGTATTTCCATAGAATTTCAGTGAAAAGGATGTTGAATATTGTGATCGTTACATTTTTTCATATAAGTTATTCGCCATTATTGTTAAGTATCCACTTGAAAGTAAAATAACAATATTTCTTATTTTCTTGTATATAGCTGCTGCAAGCTGTCTTTTTAGGGTCTATTTTTTTCAGCAAGACCGTTATTCTTCTTCTTAAAACATTAATAAAACATTTGCTTCTTTTCTCTTCAAGCCAGTATATGTAATTCCATTGACAAATTGGATTTGGAACAAAAATAAATCATTAAAAATTTAAGTTATGTTAATCTCCTTTTTAAGTTATTTTTCAGTTTATGCCATTTACTCACTTATATTTCATATTTTTTCCAAGTGCGTAAAATTTTATGAATTGAAAATCTCTCTATGTACATCTTTCTGATTGTTTTTATTTTCTGTAGAATTTCACAAACCTCTTCCAGCCAACTTTGTTCGTCTATACAAAATATCACAAAATTTGATGTTTGTCCAAATCCGGAAACTTTTGATATTTTAAATGAATACTCAGAAGCTGTTACAAACTGGAAGCTTCATTTTCAGGTAACGAATAAACTGAGTTATCAGTGCTGAATTGATTTTCAAGTATATAGTTTGTCGCGACAATATTCACTTGATTGATTCCTAATTTGTTTTATGCATATGATTCGTCAACATCAGAAATGACTGTTGTCACGACAGACGTATCGAGATAATATCATGTGCTAAACAATTTGCCACAAAAGAATTAAAAAAAACTGAAGTCTTCAATTTCTTATTAATACTTTTTACTTTTAGGTTTTTCAGCGAAAAGATTTAAATAGCTCAGTGGAAATTGTTCAAGAAATTGAAAATCGATATTTGAATTCGTTATCATGTCCTTATATACGGTATGTACGTGCAGGATTAATAGGCTCTTATTCAAAAGATGAAAAGTTAGTATATTGTTTAAGCGCTCCCTCCCCCACGGGTCAGAAACCTATCTCAACCCAGGCAGGTCTGATCTAAACCAAACTTTTAGGGAATGTTGACCATGTCAAAGTGTGGTAACTAAATTATTTTTTGGCGTCAGTTGCAGCTGTTCGTGAGAGGGCGCCACAACAAAGGCCAAAAGTAGGCGTCTACCACGCACAGGAATTCTCATTTCCGGTAAATGATGGAGAGCTCGGGCTGTTATTGTTTTGTAGTAAACACCTACACCTAGGAGTTGACAGAGCCTGCTTTTTGAATTTCTCATTTACTGATTTCTGCTGCTTAATAGAACTTTAAAATCCTTCTTTCTGTAAAAAAAAAGAAGCATATATCACCGGAACAACAAAAATAAAGTTGGTTTTGAGTTGCTGAAAATTGCTTTTTCGTATCGAGCACACCCGATAACCCAGAAGATTCTCTACTTCTGACAAGGGGTACTTCCAAAAGTTTAAGAATAATTTTGAAATAAAATGGCGCAAAAAAATTTCCATGTGAAAAAGCGTTTGGAAATACCCCTCGTCAAAAATAAAAAATTTGCTGGCTTACCGAGTGCGCTGAATAGGAAAAAGCACTTTGCAGCAACTCAAAACCAATCTTATTTTTTTCCCGATGATATTTAATTTAAAATCAGAGTCCGTCAAGTCCTAGCTATAGGTGTCATCTAGAAATCAAAAAAAAGTTATCTTTCTCCGATGTATTGTTACCGAGAATTCCTGTGCGTGGCGAAAGCCTCGAAGCTAAAAAACAGTCTTAAGAAAAACACAAAATAAGTTTTGATTCTTATGCAATACAAGTGCAAAAAAGCCATTTTTTTTATTATAGGGCTTCTTGAAAACTCGCTCAAAACCTGTAAAAGACCTATCCTATCGACACAAAAATTATGTCATCAGAAAGTAGACACTTTGGGCTATCCAACCATGTGCTTTTCTCAAAATGAAGATCTTTGACGATAACCGACATTTCTAACCCCGGAAGGGGGGCTTACGCAAAACTGTGCATTCGATGCTCTTCAAGGCTGAAACTGCTAGAAGTTTTCTCAATGGGTTCGGTTCAGTCAGTTCATAATTTGACTTATACTGGTCTCTAAAGATGCTGTTTTCAAACCAGTAAAAACTCAGTTTTTCAAATATGTTTTCAGGATGACGAACTTTTTCTGAGAGATAAATAGAGTCGATGAGACTGACGCAGAAATGGACGAGTTTTTAGTTTCAATTTATATACAGTAAGTACCCAAATTATCTGGGCATCTTTGTTTTTTTCCATTCGGATAACTAAAAACTATGTTCAGCCGTAATTTAGATAGCTGAAAGAGCTTTCTATCAGATGAGATGAAACACAAAGTTGCTCATAAAACGGCCGGTAATTGAAATGTGAAACTTTATTTTCTAGAGTATGGGTTTTCAGAAACTCCTCTACTCGTGAGAGAATCTTTCGAGGTGATTAAACGCTTTTTGCTTGGAATCTGGTGGGTTATAGGCTATCGACCATGCTAATTCTAAATATGACCATGGGAGTTACCCTTAGGCCTTCCAAGATCCGGTTTTCTAGAAAACCAGTTTTTCAGAAACTCCGAAATATAATTAAAACCCTTCTTAATGAGGCGTGGTTGTAGCCCGTAAATTTCTGATTAAAATGAGACATCTCCCAGCTCTACACGACCTTTCTTTGCAAAGTTATGCAATTTATACGAAAAGCCCTAAATTAATTTCTTATGTCTGTAGCTTTGAGCTGACAATGAACACTTAGGGCTTTACTTGTAAATTCTATAACTTTGCAAAGAAAGATCATGTAGAGCTGGGAGAGATCTCATTTTAATCAGAAATGTGCGGGCTACAATCATATTTCATTAAGAAAAGTTCCGATTATCTTTTAGAGTTTCTGAAAAACTGGTTTTCTGGAAAACCAGATCTTCGAAGAGCTACCCATGGTCATGTTCAGAATTAGCATGGTCGATAACCTATAACCCACTAAATTTCAAGGAAAAAGCGTTTAATCACCTCGAAAGGTTTCCTCGTCAGTAAACTCATGCAACTCTCTGTTACATCTCATTTGACAGCAAACTCTTTCAGTTATCTAAATTATGGCTGAACATGATTTTCAGCTATCGGAATCAAGAAAAAGTAGAAAACCAAAGCTACTCAGATAGTTTGAGTGATTACTGGATCTGCTTTGATAAAAAAACCTACAACGAAAAGAGTCTATAATAATGAGACGTTGAACGGATAAGAAAAAGAATCGACAAACAAAAAATCAGTATCTTCTAAGCACGTACACTATAAAATATTAAGTGCGTAAATGACACAAAAAATGACTACTTGATCGATGCTATTTAACGGCAAGCATTATATTGATGAATAAATCAGAAGTTAAGAAAAACAGGATTCAGTTTATATATTTAGACAAATTAATAAAACTGTTTGTTGCAATGGATGGTATGGACCTAACTGTGATCAACAAGGTAAAAATTAATTCAAACGATTGAATTTTAAAGATAAGTGATTAATATTTTCTTGTTATTTAGTGAATACATCGTCCGAGAATACTACAAGTATGTAAGAGTGTTTTTTGTCTTTGCATTTTAAATTTTACTTGAAATCTACTTCATTTCGATCAATTGACTCCACTAACTAGTCAATATTCTTGTTAGAACATAAATCATTTGCTACGTGTCATTTATGGGGAATCGATCACATTAAGACATTTGATGGAAGTCATCATAGATTTTCTGGAAGGTAACATTTTTTTATTCTAAAGTTTACCTATTTAACGTATCCATTATATTTATCTTTTCTTTATCACTACAGTTGCACATATAAACTTGCTGGTGCCAATAGCTGGCAAATTAATATTAATATGATAAACTGTTCAGAAATAACTACATGCAAAAAAGTTAGTTGTTCTCAAAAATAAAATTTAATTATTTGTATTCATTTGGATAATTTTAGAAATTGACTATTATCATCGCCGGCAAAACAATTGAGGCTGTAGGGAATGCTATTTATATTAGTGGAAAAGAAGTTGTCGAATATAAGACGGATATCTTGCCAGCCGGTTTAAGCATAAAAAAGGGAGATAATTTTATTAACTTACATTACTCAAAGGGTATTCGCATCAAAATGAATATTGAATCAGCAATCTTCATCTCGGTCGAAGAAAGTCTTAAGAATAAAATGTCGGGTTTATGCGGAGAATACAATGACAACACAACCGGTAAGAATTTTGTTTAGTAATGTCTTGTTTCATCTAATCGAACAGTTTTACGCGTTTTCTGCAGTGGATCTACCATCAACAAGTTCATCATTTACAAATCAATGGAAATTAGACAAAAGCGTATGTAGTTTAGACAGCAAGTTCTTGTATCCGGATATTGGACTTCACTGTGCTCTTACTTCAAGTGTTCAGATGTTTTGCCGACGTTGTTTAATTGCGTGACTCCACAATTACAAAGTAACATATCTGATGGCTGTTTTCCATTGATTGATCCAGGTGGTGCATTTTATGAATGTTCAAAAAGCGTTAGTTAATTTCATTTTGTATACAGCATCATTTGACACTCACTCACTCACATACCACATGCTTTTATAGGTTAATGCTCAACCATTCTATGAAGCATGCATGAGTGATTATTGTTCGACTATAAAGACGAGTAACGACACTAATTTAAATGGTGTATTGTGTAATGCATTTGAAGCTATGGCACAAGAATGTCTTGATGAATCAATTAGCGTTAACTGGCTTTCATCGACTGGATGCGGTATGTTATGATGAAATGTAGAAATGCTTCTAAAATACATCAGTTTTACTTTTTTACATTGTAGAAAAAGAGTGTACACAACATAATAGAGTGTACGTTGATTGTGCAACAAATTGTCCACAAACATGTCACAGTGATTCAACTAATATTTC